GTAATATTCTTTCAATTTTTTCTATATTCTGCTACATTATTTTATTATCTCCACAGGTGTATCATCTAATTTCATTACTAATATTTCTGCTGTTTTTTCAGCATTTATCATACCTTTCTTTTAAGGTACGCTTTACTATTTCATAATTAGCAGCAGAAATCATATAACCTTCCACTAACCTTTTACTTCTCATGCTAGTACCTTCTTTAAATGTGGCAGTTTTTGCATACTGTCTAATTTAATATTCTTTTCTACATATGCCTCAAGAGAATTCCAGAATGAAGGCCATTCACTTAAATTGCTACTAAAGGTTGGAATCGGAGGTGTAAAAACGTTTGGTCTTCCAGCCGCTATCTTTTGCTGTTCAGTCAATTCTTTTAAATTTTCTTTACACTGCTCCACATCAGCTTCCAGTATGGCCATTATCTTCCTAGCCATTCTTAACTGCTTTTGGTCTCCAAAAAGACTCTCTAATGCCTCTCTCGTCTGCTCTTCGTCAGCCGACTCCGATGCAGATAGGTTCAGCCATTTATCATAAAGTGGTTCAAGTTGCGAAAGATTATTTCTCAAAAGTTTTATTCAAATTCTTCCTTTATTGATATATTCCGTGTACTGCTTAGCTAAAAAATTTCCATCTTCACTCTCACCCGGTTGTACTAATTCACTTATTTTTTCTAGTCCTTGTTTTAACTCGTTCAAATCTTTATTTATAATATAAGTTATTAAAAAACTCACTTTTATAGCTGATATATATTTATTTATTTATATTTTTCTTCTCAGTTAATACTTTTTTTGTACTTTCTTAATCTTTTAACTTACTCAGTTGTTAATCAGTCTTGATATAATAACTTTTTCAAAACTTCGATTGTTAAGATGAAACAATTGACAGTTGAAGAAAGAGGAGGAGAGACAAAGAAGTATGAAGATAGCGTAAGTATAAGGAAAAGGTAAGAAAGGTGAATGAATAAGTACAATGTTACCTGCTAGTCCGGATCAATTCCGAAGCATTATGTTGCAGAAAAAAGTCCTATACTTTTTGAATTTTTCGGTGATTACAGAAGGAAATAAGCCTTCCTGTATCAGGAGAATATAGATTCAGTTGAAAGTCTTATTGAGATAATTGCCTGCTACGCAGATTTAAGATGTTAATAAGACTTCTTTTGCGAATACTTTTATTATGTTTTCTGATGATACAGAGCGATAGTATGAGAGAGTACAATAAGTCCTAAACAAATTCAGAAAAAAAACCTCGTGTTTTCGCAATTATTCTTTTATGCTGTCAAGATTCAAAGCAAAAATGTAAATGCATTAATCTTATAAAAAGTACTTTCTACAATATACTCTGATTATACAATATCTAGAACTCTTCCCAATTTACTAAAATATGTTATTCGTACTTTTTGGTGTAAAAGTAACTTTGTATTCATCATTTCTTTTGATGTATGAGTAACTTTAATCTTGATTGTTTTATCATTTCTGGTGACATCTCTGCTGTTCTTTTATCCTTCTATTTCTTTTGCTGTTTTTTTAATTCTCCTTTCAATTGTTGATTTTCCCTTTTGATCCTTGATCTTTTATTATTTCACTTTTTATAGCGACAGTAGGACTTTTTACAAAATGAAGCTGTTAGTCAGTAAAATTATTGAATAATTACTTGCTGTTAACTGTAACTTTTAACTATGGTGAAGTGAGTAGGTGAAGCTGATGTAGTAATTTAAAAAATTCTGAGACAGAAATCTGTTGATGAGAAAGGTAGTGCTAGAATGGAAGCAAAAAAATTGACATCTTTATGATAATTTTTGCTGGTAATGGCGTCGTTGTAAATTTCATAAACTTGCAAAATTTTGTTTAACTAAACATTAAATAAGTATTCCGTTTAACGTGTCGAAGATGATTTTATTACTGTTTATTGCAACAACCACAAATGGTAGTTTTTTACTGGTCTATCCAATATAATAATTTTTGACATCTGAAGACTGTATTTAATTTGGTGAATTTTTTGATTTCACAGTTACACTAATTTACAACTCTTTTTTGTCCGCTTTTTCTGGTGTAGTTTCTATTTCCACTGGTTACTTCATATTTTACGAGTTTTCGCCACTGTCTTGTATCAAATATGTTAGAAAAAAAACTAGAAGCAAAAGCTTTTTTCAAAAAAATTTTTTCCAGAGCTATTCAAAAAGCGTACATTATTTTTTGAGTGTGTTATTGTTTCTAGAAACAAAACTTTATATTTCTTTAGCATTCAATATTTATTTGATAACAGTGAAGTAACAGCTATAAATTGCCATCACGTAATATAAGCACTCATATGTACAAAATGAGAAAATATCAGATATACGTAATAGGACAATTTTTTTCAACTGAATATTTAATGCTACACAGTTTCAGTACAAATAAACGATATTACGTTACGTCCTGGTCAAGACTTTTGATCACTTCTCTTTGATTATGCAATTGATAGTTAGGAATAATTAGCACATTTTTATACACGTTAGTCTACTGAAAAACAGCAAATTATTTCGCTAATAAACCTTTCAAAAAGAACTTTCAATTTTGAGTAATTGACCAGAAAAAGCACAGTGATGACGAAAATAGCAAAAGAAGAAAGTGATCTTTAAATGTTTTTTTTTTTTTTTTTGGATTTATAGTGTCTCAATAAAGTTTGAATAGTCGTTCAGATAGAAGACGTTACAATTAGAGACATAAAAAATGTGCTTTCACAAAATGACGCGACAAACGCTAATTTTAGTAAAAATTAATGATTTCAGTAAAGAGTCTATCAAAAAATTTATTTATGCATGGAGAACAGTTCTTTTTTGAGCTAAATTGCAAATAAGTACACAAAAAGAGGTGTAAGAGCACTTTGCTAAGCATACAGTAATTTTTGGTACAACAAAGTTGTTTTTTTAATTGTTCATCAACTGAGTTTACACGAATTGGTGCTACTGAGATTTCTGCGTTAATTTTATCACTCACTACTGATTTTTCTTTTAGTTATTAACCGTACTTAAAATGAATCACTGTCAAAAAAAACTGTTGCAGTTCTTAAGCAGCCTCTTAAAAACTGCATTTAAAAGTTGTCAGTAAGTTGCTTTTGAAAAATACTTTGTCTTTAAGCTTTTTAGACTAGTAAAAATCACATAAATAACATGTTTTAAATTTACCAACACATAAATTATGCTTCGCTTAAAATCCGGCAAGAAAGTAAAAGTTTAAAACGTCTAACTATGAACTTAAAAATTTGTTATGCAAACAAAAGCGGGAAAATAAATGTCATTAGAATCAAACGCGTATTTGTCATCTGTGACAGAGATTCCGTTCTCTAGGTAAAGAACCAGTATCTTATCTACGTTGGTAATTCTTCTTTAACTGTTTCAACACTACTGCCTTTTTTGCAAGTTTCAATTTCTTTACATATTTTTTGAGTTTAACTGGGGAATGTTTTACGATTGGAAGGTACAACAAAAGAAAAACAGTAAAAAAATGATCAAAAGTAATAACATCTTCTTTTTCAGATGCTTTGAAGAAAAGTCTTAATTCAGTGAGGTTACTGTGAGCGAATAAAAAGGGAACAGGCCCGAAATCTTTATAAACTAACCGGCCAACTTTCTGCGGGCAAAAGGAGATGAAAAGAATAGGAAATAAATAAGTTAGATGCAAAATGAAGCAAGAAAAAAGCTGTTATGAGGTGTTTCGAGAGTCCGAGAATCTACAACTATTAGATGATACTAGTTACTTTTGCATTTCAGTAGAAACACAGTCGGGCTGTGGCTGACATCAAAAATGTTACTGAGAAAAAAACAAATAATCTCAAAGATAAAAAACTGAATTAGACTATTCGCACAGCACCTGACAGATTAAGCCCTTTTACCTTAAGCAGTCGCAGCAGTGTTAGCTACCACACAAAAGTAAAGCAAAATCTATTTCACACGCAGAAGAGGTTTCTTGTTTAGCGTTTAGATGTGTGTTAGAAGGAAGAACGAGTTTTTTTGCTTGTCTGACAGTCCTTGTTTCCTACTTTACTCACTACTGTAACTTTTTTATGAGTTTCAAAGTACTTGGGATAAAAGTATTTTATAATGCAGTGTCTAATATCCAACTGTCGCGTTGCAAAAGTAATCGCGTAGGTTAACGAACTGCAATTGTGGAGGAGCAGAACATAAAGGTTCAGCGTTTCCATACCGCGAAACTTAAGGGCTTCAGCGACCATCTTGCAAGCAGTTGGAATCAAGTACAAGGCTGAAATGTGGTTAACTTTCTGTATTATGGTAATTCCTCAAAACTTTTATAAGGCTTGTTTATTGAAATGTCTTTCTAGCGGTTTGCAGTAGTCTTAAACCTATTGCGATTACAAGGCTCATTTTTCTGTAACAAAGCTGTCATTTACCCAGAATGGTTGCATTGCTTATCATAATGCTCATGGTGTACTTCCTCTGTCGTTTGCTGATGCATGATAACCGATCGTTTCCGCAACCAGATGAGTTATGGAACTGACTCATACGGGCTTTTCTACTAAACATTTTATTTTTATTGTTTTTGCAAAATTTTTCTTAACTGTTGACGATTTGTTCCTGTTTTTAATGACTTTTCGAAGCAAAATAGCTTACAATAGGTAATCACCCAGGATACAGAAAGCGTAAAATTTTGAAGAAAATGTCGCAGTAAACTTTGAATAAAGAGTAGTCTTTTTGAACTGGACTGGTGACAATTAGTTTCATTTGGAACAGAATCGTTCCACTTACTGCTTCATCAACACGGTTACAGCTGTCATAGATGTGATAGTTGTAAATGAAAATGCTATTTTCAATGCACTGATATAAGTCGATGCTGGTGCCTTAGTCAAGAGCTGAGTTCTAAAATCAACAAACACTGCATTATAAAACAATTAGGTCAAAAAAAAAGCAAACAAACGCTGAAGTTGCCAAACGTGTCAGACAGCCGGTTGCAAATACCCGTTTTACTTTGTTCAGATATTTGTTTAAAATTTTAATTTTATAAGTGTTTTTTTTTTTACGAATAAGTTTATTAGAATTCAATTTGAACAGCTCTTTTAATAAAAAAAAAAAAAAAAA